TAAATAAGTAACACAAATAAAATAAATCTCTTCATATAAACAAACTAAGGCTTTGTCTGTGCTCTTTCCTTTTAAAATTAGAGGCGACCACTGCATTTTAATCACGATCCAAACAAAGATGCAGCATACATGGAACACGAGCAGTTTTTAAACTAAATTAGATTGTAGAATTTCGAAATTTGAAGCAAAAACAGAATGGTTTGACTTCAGTTTTGTGAAACTATACATAAAAATATTACCATGAAACAGAAACAGCAGACGAGCTGAACGAGACGCAGATTCACTCTCTGCCAGCAGGTGGCGCTTAAAGCGTTTCCTTGGTTACCGCTGTAAACAAAGCAGTGCTGCACTTATGAACAGCAATGATACAGTGTTTCCTTGGTTACCGCTGTAAACAAAGCAGTGCTGCACTTATGAACAGCAATGATACAGTGTTTCCTTGGTTACCGCTGTAAACAAAGCAGTGCTGCACTTATGAACAGCAATGATACAGTGTTTCCTTGGTTACCGCTGTAAACAAAGCAGTGCTGCACTTATGAACAGCAATGATACAGTGTTTCCTTGGTTACCGCTGTAAACAAAGCAGTGCTGCACTTATGAACAGCAATGATACAGTGTTTCCTTGGTTACCGCTGTAAACAAAGCAGCGCTGCGCTTATGAACTTTAATATGCATTATACAGAGGCAAGAGGAAAAGAAAAAATACCATCTAAACTTTTCTAAAGACAGTAAGTTCCCCTCAGACATACATTCATATAAACTCCTAACCCCTAAATAAATCACGATTTGTTTAGCATCTCAACCGATTTGAATCGATTTTCACCCGGCTCGCGGTTAATCGTTACATCCCTACTTGTAATCAATGTTCCTTCTAAGAGAGTGATGTGTGCCAGATCAGTCGCTGTAGAATCGAGTACGAAACCGCTCAACACGAGAGCAAACGCAATGACATGTGTAATAAAACTGCATCATGTTTGAAAGAAGAGTGTCTTGATTAAGTGCTGGCAACAGCGGATGATGAGCACAGAACAGTAACAAAACTCCCAGACATTTACAGTCGCACACAAGTGTTGTAGTGTGCAAACTCTACTGCATGGGGATGTTTTAGATAACTGTAAAATAATTCACGTTTTTTGAAGATATTTGTTTATATTCTATTATAAGCCTAAATAATTGACCTCAAAAAGGGCTCATGAGCTATAACTGTTTCATTTTTCCATATTAGCTATATTATATTACATTATATCATATATTATTATTAAAAAATTGAACTATTCTGTATAAGATGGTTTTTTTTAATGATTTTTTAATAAAATGTCGTGGTAAGTAACACAGCACTGTAAAAAAATGTTTTCTCAGGTAACCTAAAATGTGCATCATTTAGTTACATCAAGGGTCAAATCAAATATAAATAGCACATTAAAGTTAAAAGTTACACACTTTTTTTGTGTGTGCGCTGTGCAGGTCTGGTATACTTTGGCTTCAATAATCCAAATCCATACTATATCTCCAGTAATAGTAAGATGAGATTGAAATGCTCCAAACATATAATGCAGTGATTGAGAGCTGAAGAAATAAAGGCTCCTCCTCAGATGTGAGATGTTCTGGAGGCTTGTGAAGATCATTCCTCCGCTGAGGAACAGTGAAAGTAAAGCTTCTGGAAACAAACGCTCCTCAAAAGATCCTGAGGATCAGATTTGA